CTGTTCATCAACAAGCTGTCTGCTTTCTCTCCACCGCTACTTATACGGCAATTAGTATGTGTCAGCCCCTCGTCTAAGCTTCCTGTGCTCATTATCCCATTTAATCCTCTTAAAACCTTTAAAAGATGGATAATATTATTATCGCCTCTTTAGAGATGAAGCTGGAGAGCTCGGTATCGACTATGCTGGGATTCCGGCCCCGGCAGTGTGGCGCCATGGCCCAAACTTTTAGCCCCTCTGGCAGGCAGTTAGTGGTTAAACTTGAGTGTGAGTCCAAATCAGCTGGAGTGCGTGTTGAGATGCTGATGGCTGGGCCCCGAGCCCACAGCAGCTGATCCAATAGGTCTGGATGGTGGTGGTGGGGCTGGGGGGTGTGGAAAATGTGTTTCTCAGGTGATGCTGAGGCTGCTGGTCTAAGGATTACCGTTATCCCAATGGCCACTGAAAAGATTCTGACTCACGGGGACCTCCTGTGCTCCGCAGGGTTGTCAGGGGCTGCCTTAATTAAATCTCCAGACCTCTCTTCCAAGGTGGCTCTGAGTGGACTTTACCTCCCACCCTTTGGGTTAGCAGCCGAGTGCATTAACCCTTCGCATCACCCATGTATGGTGTGCCCTCTAACCCACTCCAGCTCATGAGTGTCAGAAGAGAACTGTGCCCCATGGGGTTTTCAGTGGCTGGTTTTTTTGAAAAGAGATCACCAGGCCCTTGTGCCTACATGCTCGGGTAGACTCACACCTCAGCCCTTTTGGTGCGCAGCTGGGCACGTTAAGCATTTCCACCATCCAGGGACTGCAGGTCTGCAAGCTACACATTTGGAGAATCATTGCTATACTGACATGCCATCTCCAAATGTTATTTCACCTTACACTGGGATAACACTGAAGGGCAGTCTCCGAGATTCTGTTTGTAAGGGAAAGCTGGGCCTAACAAAACCCTTACTAAAGTCTCCTGACAGTTCCCAAGAATGTATCCAAACATATTTTCAAGGTCCATGGAAATGGCTGCACTTAAAATATCAGATATGTAAGGGAATGTGGGCTCAGGGTTCAAAGTCCAGTATGTACCTACAGATCCATGGATCGCAGCTGAGATGCAGAAGGAAGGCGTTGAGGGCCTGCATTAAACAGGTGCAGGCCTATTTTAATGCAGAGATGATCTGCATAGCCATGCAAAAGGAATTGTCTTGCTTGTTAATCAGTTAGGGACTGCAATATGCTTCTGCAAGAACATAATGCCAATGCACCTCTCATTTTCTTAGGAAAGTAATAACAGTGGTTAAATATTTGGATGCATGCAAGCAGGGAATGATTGCAACAGAGCAAATTAGTTTGCTTAAAAAAAGAAAAGGAAAATATAGGATGCCCCCAAACTATACAATCTGTTTGTGTAATATAATACAGACCAGGCACAAATAGATTCTGGAGGCAAAGTCTATTTAAAACTGCTCTCCCTGCTGCCCCATCCAACTGGAAAACCAATTAAAGTTTTTTTAATGGGTTCAAATCTAGCTGTTTTTGAATGGCTATCAGGTGGACCCAAGAATTCACTGATAGTTGTATAAAATTGTGTGTACATGTGTGTGCATTTATATGACAGTTTTTTTTTTAAATGAAAATTGTACCTTTTGAATCAGATTTTTAAAGGCAGCTGGAACATCCTACCTCCTCCAAAAAAAGTTGAAGCACTACTTTCCAAAAATGCCCTCAATTGAAAGGCTTTTTTGTTACCATTTTAAAACCATCTAAGAATTTGAATAAGAAATGACACTAAAAAGAAGCGAAAAGCTAGAGAGAATTTTGGAAAGTATGATGACCATGTATATCGGCAATTTCATTTCCCAGGATGGAATCACACTAAATGAGAAGGAGCCTTGGTGTAATGGTGAAGTGTCTGTCTGCTAACAGAAAGGTTGGTGGTTCAAACCTACCCAGACAGACCCAAGGATCTGCTCCCATAAAGATGATAGGCTAGAAAACCCTCCAGGGCAGTTTTGCTCCATTACATGGGGTCACTATGAGTCGGAATCAACTTGCTTATCCCTAACAACAACAACAAACTAAATGAGAAGGTTCTTAAGCATCAGATAATACAGAGTGGGATCAAAAATCAAGAAATTGACACCACAAAGCCTGGATGATGTCTATACTGAACAATAGAGACCCAGCCTCGGAACCTGGTGTGAGAGGCTGAATTAGGGTCAAACTTCCCCAAGGTGCTACCTGTGGCATTCCCTCTCATACTAGCCAACTCCAGAAACATGTTCTGAGATCGGACATCTTTTCTTTACCCAAATTAGCAGAGTTCACTCCAAACAGTTTTCAAGAGAGGTCTGGGAAGCTGTGTAGATGTGTCACCACTCCCCCCTCGATGAACGTCAGAGCACTGCCCAAAGATACCAAGAGGACAAAGACCAAAACGCTACTGCTGAGGCCCACGGGAAGCAATCTAGATGAGGAGGGAAGCCTCAATCTGTGGTGTTGGCATCACACTTTCTCACCAGGAACCAACGTACTTGAGGGGCTTTGTAACCTAGGCCAACACCTAGGCAACCAGCTGAATTTCCTTCTTTCCTACTGACATATAGCTTTCACTCTGTGCAGTTTGACTCTTGCCCCTCTGTCCTTCCTACTGCCCCTCTCTGGGAATTCTGCCTAAGTGTGCTTTTGGCATTCCAAACATGATATTGTCGACAAAGAGGCACAAGCCACAACTCTAACCAACATGTTGAGTGTATATTGCTAGAATATTAAAATTACACCACATTCCTGGCACTCACAAACACACACTTTCACCATGTGGAGACACCTGGTCCTCTCCCTGGTGAACAAGGCATCATGAGTTATACAGTTACTCCCAGCAAAGAGCATCTTCATTCCAAGTTAGCAAATTTTCATTTCACAGCAGGTGTGTTCTTCTGGAAGTCTTATAAAGTGTTCATGGGAGAATAAGCCTTATAATTCTGCTTTCTCTCTCTCTCTCTATATATATATATTTTCAATATAGTCATGAAAGACTGAGGGTACATATACTGAAAAGCTACAATTACCATCTATAGAGGTAACAGTGTTCAAAGACACTCATGTGGTATAAACATGCAATTTTGCATTTATGGCTTATGAATCTTCCTTTTGTAATTACATAAACCTAGAGGGTAACTTCTTGGGTCTTTTTCCCCCTTCATAACCCACTGTGGCCTCGGGAATAACAAATCATGATTTCTGCATTTCTTGATCCAAAAAATAGTCTCCATGTGGAGTAACAGGGGTAATGATCGTACTGCACTATTGAAGGTCCCTGGTGTCACATGACAAGATACATGACACTTAAGAAGGGCAGATGCTTTGGGGGAAGTGACAAATATTTAGGGTCCGTTCCTCCTTGGTTTATGATTACTATCTTTTTGGTTAAAAATATTTTGTCATTTTGCCCACTAAGAAGCCCAGAGTAGACCCAACCCTAATGTCTACACACAGAGAACCCAGTGGGCGTTGTAAAATTTTTTTGCTTTTGACCCAACCCAAATGTCCACACATGGAACCAGTGGGTATTGTCTTATTTCTTTGCTGTTGACCCAACCCTAATGTCCACACATGGAACCCAGTGGGCAACGTCTTATTTCTTTGCCTTCATGTTCTCCTTCTCATGATTTCATCTATCCATCCCTTCACATTCTTAACTGTGCTTTACCATATGCATTTTAACAACACCTCAATTGCTCTATTTTGGAATGGGTGAGATATGAGTAAATAATTGGAAAAACTGTGTTTCCCTTTCTCACAATGGGGAGATGATGGAGATTAAATGAGGTTTTCTAAAAGATCTATAAGCAACAAAGCTCAAAAAAGAAAGAAACATATGTCATTAGCCCCTTTACACTGTTCTAAGTGCTGTCATATTCTTTCTGCCAACCAGAAAGCCAGTCGCTGGCCAGAGAAATCTCCTATCAGACCACCTTGGACGTGGCTGGGTTCCCCTTCGGCAGGGCTTCATCAGGCTCCACGCTACAGACATTTGGCTCTGGATCATTCTTTCTTCTTTGTGTGTGTGTGTGGGGGCATGTCCTGCACACATTGAGCAGCATTCCTAGTCTCTACCCACTAAATGCCAGAAGCACCTCCCCCAGGTGTGACAATCAGACATGTCTCCAACCATGCCAAATGGGGGCACAGTCACCTCGGTAGAGGACCAGTGCCTTAAGGACATCTTTCTGACCTTCCTATTCCAGAGAGGCCGGAATATTCTACTGTCAACCCTAGCAGCAAGGCAGAAAGAGTGGGGTCTCAAGATTACAGGCAACACATGAGTAGGTTTTGAGGGGCATTTGCCAACATGTCTCGATGTTCACCTGCAAATATGAGGGTCCATGCACAGAAGGCCCCAGCTGACCACAGGGAATGGTTTAGTGTGCATTTTCCCCATACAGGGGACAAGAAGACAAAGGCCAATTTGGAAAAACACCCACCTACAACAAAACTTCCTCCCAATGTCACTCAGCTCTAGAGTGTCTGCATATGACACATCTCATTTCCTCTTTTTAGCACAAAGTTCATGAACTTCGCAGTGCAAGGTGTCTTTGGACAGGACAGCAATGCCACCCCAGTGACTGTTATGTGTGGAAAGCTCGGTCGGTGGGTGAATTCAGGGGGCAAATGTGATCCAACCTCCTTATAACCAGGAGTTTGCAATCCTCTGGAATCCGACTTGGGCTGTAACCACGTCTCTCATCTCCAGCATTCAGTCTCAAAGAGAATTTACATAACAACATGTGACACGTCGAATGCTTAAAGGCACCAACCATGACAGGACAAATGACACTCATTTTTCAATACTCTTTTGCAAGGTGCTGCACGCCAGGGGGATGTGAGGGGGTGCTACATGCTTGAGGGGGGGGTGGCTCTGGGAGGGGGGTGTCAAGACCAGCATGCACTCACAAACAGCTCCGTGCCTCTAGGAAAGGGAGGGTTGTGCAGGAGGGCCCAGCAGGCTGGTCCACTTACCCGCCATAGGCCGGGATGGGGGGCGGAGGCGCCGCGGCCCGGAAGGTGTTATACACGGTGCGGCCGCGGCCACGCAGGTGTGCGCCTCGGTAGGCTGCCGCTGCGGTGGCGGCTGGATACGGAAAGCCGGGCACTGCGGGGAGAGGAGAGAGCAGAGAAAGGCTGGTCAGAGGCGTGCGTGCCTACCACGGCGGTACCTGCCCCCAGGAGCCCTTCTCCTGGCAGGACCAAGGCCCAGGCCACCTCCAGCCCCCGTCCCAGAGGCTGAGGTCTAAATGTACACAGCAGGGCAGAGGCTAAGGACGGTCTGGTTAAAATCATGGTACCTCTGCTCAAAAGAATACTGTAAACAGCAAATATTTATGAAGAGTTCTTTATCACAGGAGAAAAAGCTCACTGCCAAACACCTCAATTAAAATAATAATTATATATGCATATATATATATGAACAACAACAACAACAAAAGAATATATGTGCAATGTGTTCTCAATCACGTTATATACATGTGTATGTCCGAGTGTATGATGTGTGCACATATGTGTGTGTATACAGGACCCCTGAGTGGTGCAAATGGTTGATGTGTTTGGCCGTTAGCCGAAAGGTGGGAGGCTCCAGTACAACCAGACATGCCTTGTAAGAAATGCCGAGAGTTGGAGTCAACTGATGGCACCTTTGTGTGTATGTGTATGATGCAGGTATATATATGTGTATGTATGTATGCATACGTGGAAGTGAATTTGCATCCATGTATGTGTATGTAGGTATATTTACACACATGACATATGCCCATGTAGGACGAATGCACATATTTCAACACATGAGTAGTTTGAATCTCTAGGGCTGGATTGTATGACTAAATGTCAGTTTTTCATTTGTGGCTTTTTGCCCAACCCATTTTCATTTGTTTTGCACATCTTCCTTTTAGTCCATACAGTGCTCATTGTACATTTTAATTGAAGTACAGTATTCCTGAAGAAACGTGTATGTGCCATAGCATACAAACCACTCATATCCCAGCAAACAGATCATGACCAACACTCAAAGCCCCCTATTCCACCCCTATACCCCATGCCAAGTCAATTCTAACTCGCAGCAACTCTACAGGGCAGAACAGAAGTATCCCCGAAGGCTTTCCAAGGCTGTCATCTTTACAGAAGGAGATTGACACATCTTTCTCCTGTGGAGCCGCTGGTGGGTGTGAACCTCCCACCTTTGTGGTTAACAGCAGAGTGCCACCAGGGCTCCTCTCAGGAAGATTACAGTCAAGGAAACCCTATGGAGGGATTCCACTCTGTGCCTCATGGGGTTGGCCTGAGTTAGAGTCAGCTTGACAGCAGTGGGTGTGGTTTTATTGAGACTCAGGCTAGGAAGGAGACAGACATCCTCTGGTATGGTAACGAAACAAGAGAAATCCCACGAGGAGGTGGTTCTTCGTAGTGTGTGAAAGTCTTCTCCAGCCTACAGTCTATTTGCCCAGAGGGGCTCTGCCCTCTGCTACCATTGCCTTTATGAGGAGAAGCACTCAACCCCATCTCATCCCATTACCGGAGAAGCCTTTCCACCCACCTAAAGCATAGTGGCTAAGACACTTGCCTGCTCACCAGACGGCTGGTGGTTCAAACCCACCAGCCACTCCTCGGAAGGAAGGTTGGGCAATCCTACTTCCATAGTGATACTGCCTCGGAAACCCAAGGAGGGGTTGCTATGAGTCGAGTTTGACTCGACAGCATGTAACAACAACGACAACAATAAAGCATGCATTCAGGTGAAGGTTGTAAGGGGAGGAAGAGGCTAAAATAATCTTGGAAGGGAAACTTAAGAGTACATGTCAGAGACCCCAGGAAATCACTGCTTGCTACCTGAGGGAAGGTCAAAGATTTATACCCTACACCCATGGGCCCTGGGTGCCACAAATGGTTTGTACTGGACTGCTAATCCAAGGGTTGTTGGTTTAAACCCACCCAACAGTACAGCATGAGAAAGTCCTGGCAATCTGCTCCTGGTAAGATTATAGCCAGAATTTACCCCTGAAACTACTGCTCTGAGATCATCTTAAAACCTTAAAGCAATGGTTTAAGAAGAAGCTGAAGTCTTTAACCCAAACAATAATTTAGCTTAACTAGTAAACAATCCTGGCACTGAGCCTGGTGCTCTTTGAAGATCTATTTACATGGATCTTAACAGACAACTCGAAAGGTTAGATAAGAATCTTAGGGGATCAGTGAGTTTGTGTAAATGATGAAAGGAGGCTGAGAATGGTTGCACAACTTGGATGTAATCGGAGACACTGAATTGTGCATGGAGAAGTTCTGGAATTGGTGTCAGTCCAGCTGTGCATCCTCTCAACAACAACAAAATCAAAACAAACAAACAAAGATTACAGCTGAGAAAACCCTATGGAATAGTCTTATTCTGTATCTGTGGAGTTGTGAGAGTCAGAATTGATTAGACAGCAATGGGTTTGATTTGACTTTTCACCTGTGGTCACTGTATGTTTGCATGTGGTTAAGCCCTTGGCTAACAACCAAAATGTTGCCAGTTTGAATTCACCAGCCACTCTGCAGCAGACAGCTGTGGCAGTCTACTTCCAGAAAGATGAGAGCCTTGGAATCTCTATGGGGCAGTGCTACTCTGTCCTAAAGACATACTCTCTCTGAAGTGTAATCAACTCGATGGCGGTGGGTTTGGTTTGCTCTGGGTCGGGCAGGAGTTGGAAGGGCGAGGATTGGGTGGAGCTTACCATAGGACCAGTCCCAATTCTGTGCCACCCTGTGGGACTGTATAGGCTGCAACAGGACACGTGAACAGGAAGTACAGGCTGATTGGCTATTATCTGGAATTCTGTGTGTTCCTGACTGGAGAATAGCCCGCTTGCCTTATAGTGGGTTCGACCGTATCTTTCTTTCAAGATGAGGCCATGCTGCAATGGCAGAAGCCAGTCAGAATGACTGCATTTATTTGTGCCTGAGAAGACCACTACAGCTAAGTTTAACCTTTTCTTAATGGCTGTCACAGACAATTCGTGCACTTTTATTTAATACTCAGCTTGCCAGCCTCTAGCACCAACGTGTCCCACAAGTGTTCCAACAAATGACCTTGTACATGCAAAGCCCTGTAATCTTAATGGGGAAAGTGGAGAAACGCTCATCTTATAAAAGCCCAGTGGCAACGAGGTATGAGATGCTTGTTGCAGTATCGGGGGGAAAACGAAGGAGGCCGGTATGACCCGGAATCTCTTGCCACAGTTCAAATATTAACTTTTCCCAGGAATGTCCTGGATTTTGAAATAAAGAAAATGTGAAATTCACAATCTGGTGGAGCAGCTGGCTGCTTGTGTGAGGCAACGCGGGAATGAGACTGACCCATTCGTTATCACCAGACTGAGCGAGACAAGATCCCGCCCGGCGACAAGCAGGTTTTACAATAATTCTTGGAGGATTTAGATGTCGAGATACAACATTAAACAGAAGCTCGGCCACAGAGCAAGGGGCGCACGTCTGACAAGAGTCGAGCCAGGAGGGCGCTCGGTACCCGTTTTGTGCTGGGAAGAAAATGTCTCTCCTGACGTGGGGACAGGTATCTACAGGTGACAAACGGACTCTCTCCGGTGGCCCCAGCCAGGCACACTGAGGAATTCCTTCTGGAGAACACGGGAACTCCACCTTCCGTGGAGAGCGGTACTCTCAGGCACAACAAAGATGCTTGCCAGGTCAAGCTACAGACAGAGTCCCGGAGTCCAGAGCTCCCAGCTGGCTGACGTGCTTGGTTGCGTCTTTCTTGTGGATGGTCTAGAGCTGGTCCAGGGGCCTCTTGGGGAAGCTCTAAGGGTTGTCATGGTTTCTGAGCATCTCAGCCCTTCCTTCTCTCCCTTCCTTCTTCCTCCTTTCTTCCCTTTATTCCTTTCCCTCTCTTTCTCCCTGTGTTCCTTCCCTCCTTACTGCCTTCCCCCTTCTTCTCTTTTCCTCCTCATTCTTTCCTTCCTTCAGCTTAATTATTCTTTTTTATATGTGTATATTAATAACTAGGAGCTCTGATGGTGTAGTGCTGAAGGCATTTGATTGCTAACCAGAAGGTTGGCAGTTCAAACCCACCAACCCCTCCTCGGCAGGAAGATGGGGCAATCTACTTCCATAGAGATACTGCCTCAGAAACCCAAGGAGGGGTCGGCATGAGTCGGAGACGACTCGACGGCACATAACAGCAACAACATGTGAATATCTATATGTAAACCCATTGCTGTTGATTAGACTTTGACTAAAGGCCACCCCAAGCGTGACAGAGCAGAACTGATTGATAGGTTTCCTTTATCTGTAACCTTTACAGAAGGAGAGTGCCAGACCTTTCTTCTTCTGTACCACAGGGGGTGGTTTTAAATTGCCAACCTTGGGGTTAACAGCTGATTGCAAATTGCTTGTGCTACCCAGGTACCTTTATATATGTACACACACACACACACACACACATAAAGGGTCTCTGGAGGTATAGTGGTTAAGGCATTTGGCTGCTAACCAAAAGGTAAGTGGTTTGGCCCCACCAGCTGCTCTGTAGAAAGAAAGATGAGGCAATTTGCTTCTGTAAAGATTTCTAGCCTTGGAAACCCAATAGGGGTGGCTATGACTTGGAATCGACTCAATGGCAGTGAGTTTGGTGCAGTTGTATAGACATACATATACATTTATTTATTTATTTCCCACCCCCTCCTGAATAGGCTGCCATGAGCTGCCCCAGGGGTAAGAGCAGAGAAGTAGCTTGAATGACCAACATGAAGGAGGACTCCCTATGGTTCGAATGCAAGCACTGGTCTCCATCTATTGTGCTCTGTTTACAAGACTGGCTGGCACAGGAGGCCCTGACCCTGTGCCTGGACCCCTTGCAGGCATTAAACACTGTGATGCTCCTCCCTTCTGGGGGCACAAGGCCCCTCCTGTCACTGCACACCTTCCCTGTCACCACCCTCTACTCCAAGCGACCTACCCAGTACTTGCAGATCAACAGCATGCAAACGACTCAACAGTCTTCCAATCAGAATCCATGGAAACCTACTTTCTACTTGCATCCTGGTTGGCATGCTATAATTGACCCACAATAGCAAGCACACGTGGAATATGCTTGACTGCAATGACAAGGGGGAC